AAATGGCAACCAAACAAGGCCATATCAGGGTTTTCTAGTCAAAAGTAACTTCTGGAATGTGGTCTACTGTCAGCATAAGCAGCCCCATTATTTATATACCCTCCATAGCTCTAGAATTACAGAATAAACTTTTACCAATAAAATGAGAACCAAGAATATCATATTGTAAATATTGTATTTCTCTCCCTCACAAACAATGTTGTATGAGACATTTACTAGTTTTAATATGTATCCATAGGATTAATACTCATATGGAGTATAATGCAAAAAGTGCCGAAATAAAGAAATAAGTCTATATGAAAACAAAAGCACACATTTCTTAGGATTTAAAAATATTGCACATAATAAGGTTGCACAGAAATTACTGGCTGTTTTTACAAACAGAATGAGGTATTAGTCAATCTCTAGATAAAGATGAGTGCAAAGAAGAGGAACCACACACACAAAAAATACATAAATCCATATAAGACCTAGAGCGCCAACAACTAGAAAGAAATGTGAAAAGATGTATAAATTAGCTATGATTTCAACACTACAAAATCATTAGCCAGGGATCAAACATGTAACAATCTCTTGATAATATTTCAAAAGTTTTCAACTTTCTTTCCGCCTAAATGGCTATGAGCAATATAATCATTTCCTTTACTCCAATTTTACTACAGAAAGGTATGGTTCTGTGTAAATATTAAATTATGCCTTTCTGAAGCTCTCAGTGGTAAAGATATGCTATCCTTTGCTGAATGACTCAATTACAGTTTCATGTACATTTAGCAACCCAAGTCAGAGATGCTGCAGAGCATGCAATTTTAAATTAGCAAAGGTTTCACTGCAAAAACCATTCAAGTTCACACAATTTAAATCTACAATAAGTTTCAAAGTTTAACCTTTAAATATATATCAGGCAAACTCAATCTTTTCTTGGTAATAAAACTGGCCACGCAAGTAAGCCCAAGGGCAGGTAGAGAACAAAGACCAGGCAGAATTATAGTATCTTTTTTTAAAGAATCTTTCCTAATCAGGAGAATTAATAATTAGCTACTTCTCTACTAAACTGAGTGTTGTTGAATTTGTCAAAAAACATTTAAATACATTTAATATCTATATCAAGTTACGTGAAATCATGCACTTGTCAAAATAGTTCACAGAAAATTGTTTTGCATCAAAGATATTAAAGAAAAGTCAACTAGTTGGGTTTAGTGAGAACGAAAAATAGTGAACTACTGTCCTGAACAGTCAGTGTATGTAGTAACCATATTTCCTCTTCGTTGAGTGACAGTCCTGCAGTGCTTGCTAGATCCATGGAATCTATTTTCAGTCTGTACTGTATGCCGATTGGTGGTGTCAAAACCACTAAAAGAAAACATTTTCTCCATATCTTCAAACATGTCATCAAACAGTCCACCTCCAAAAGAAAACTCCTGGAAATGATGTCTTTGTCTACTGGAACCATCCTGGCGTGTCTGGAAGTGATTCTCAAAATGCTTCTTGGACCGAGTGTTTTGGTTTTGACCAAAAAACCCGAAGTCTTTAAATAAGTCATCAAAATTGAAGTTAAATGATTGCTCAAAAGGACTTCCGCTACCTCTTTGTCCTTTACCGTTAGTAAAAGCACTGTGTCCAAGTGTATCATACTCTTTTCGCCTATTAGCATCTGAGAGTGTTTCATATGCTGAAGAAAATAAAAATACTTTAGTAACTGAAGATAATTAAAATTACATATACCCAAACCTCTTCAAATAAATGAATTCAACTCTCTATTTTAGGGAAGGATTTCACACCACCAATAAAGCCAAAACATTACAAACTTAAGAAAAAAGTTAAAATGAAAGTTAACAAAAGGCAGGGCCTTTGTCCTATTTACTGTGTAATATCAGCTGTTAGAATAATGCCTGCCCCTGGTAAATATCCAATAAATATTTTTAAATGAATGCTACCATTACTTACAAATAAGCATGTGGGAAACAATTACAGAGTTATTTTTCATATTATTTGGGTAAAACCATTACTTGTATTAAATAATTTAATGGTCCAATATAACCAATTAAGAAGAATTCAGATTTTTCACTTCCTTACTAGTTGAAGTGTTTAACTCCAACTCTCTACTCAATTACCTCCACCCACCATTAATTACTGGATGCTCAGGAGGTACAATTTGTTTTAGAACTAGTATTAAATCAAAATGTTTCATATTTTTCCTTCAAAGACAAATGTGGCTTTTAAATATAGACCAAGTGAAGAAAAAAAACAAAACATTTCAAAGTCTATTTAAATTTTTTATACTTAGTATTTTTATATCTAATCTCCATACTTAGTAAAAACTGTTCCATAAGTTAGCTTAAAAGTTTTGGGTACCTAAAATTCCTTTTAACATGGAAACAATAAGCAATTTCATAAACAGAAGAATGAAGTGATACATTTTCAACATTTTAAAATCTATGTGACAATAAAAATTTGTACTACCATTCATCCATCCATCCTGGAATCCAAGTAATTGTGATGAGAAGATAGTCTCAAGAATCTCACTTTATTTAAATGTTCACCCCACTCTGCCACCCATTGTCACAGTATCTCCAAATACACACACTTCTTAGCTATCATTCTCCTTTACTAGTTAGTTATCTGGGAGACCTCAGAGATAGCCATTTACTTACCTTCTGCAATCTCTCTGAATTTTGCTTCAGCATCAGGGCTCTTATTTTTGTCAGGATGGTACTTCATGGCCAACTTATGAAATGCTTTCTTGATTTGGCGCTCTGATGCTGATTTTGGCACACCTAAGATATCATAGTAACTTTTTGATGCCAAAATTAATTCCGTTATCATTAATATGCAGATTGCAAAGACGAAAACTGACTGGGGAGTAGCCATTTCTAATATCCTAAAAAAGAAAAAAAAAAAAAATTATCCATGCAGCTAATCATTAAGACTTTTTCTTTTAAAAGAAACCCAGTGAACTTTTAGGATACAAGGTATACTTAATGAAGTATCAAAATGTTAAGCATATAATATCTTGTACTTGTTCCCATGTTATTTCATTTTTATAGGCTTTATTACCTCTTTGTTGGTTCTAACCTTCTTAAAAGCAAATGTTATTCAACCAAATTGAGAAAAAAAATTTTTCTTCGCTTTACCTTTTCAGTAATACTCTGGTCATACACAGAGTAGACACAAAAATATATTCAATAACTTTTTTACCAGTAAATACCGAAGACTCATCATTTGTAAACATTGTAAAAAGGGTGGAAAATCCAAATAATTTTTAAAAGGATATCAATTTTCTTTTCAAGAATTCATATTCTAAGACGATTAAAAATAAAAGTATTTAACTTCATGAAAAAAAAAAAAAGTACATTACCAAGGTAAACAGCCCAGTATGTCTGATTGGTAATCCTCCCTCCCTAAGAAAGCACCAACTTCAGCTTTCATTTCAGCAAGGTCAGCAAGGATTGCAAATAGAGAATCTCAATATCATATTAATATTGACAATACTATTGAATGTAATGATTTAATTGTGAGATCCCAAATATTTAACCAAAATATATATATATATAAATGGGTTCTGCTAAGGCTACCAGAAAAATAAACGTTCATAGTCTGTACTTTAGATAAGTTAAATACTTAAGTTCAAACTTCTCCGTAGTCATTAAAATATTTCTCTAACCTTAAAGAAGTTTTACCTAAGAATTCCACTAAATCTGTACCTAAGAGTACAGATTTAATGACTTGGGATGCAAAACGAATGTGATCCTGTTTTTTGAACTCTGTACTAGGAGTTCTTAATAACCTATGACGACATAACAAGGCTGACGAAAGACACTATGGTTTGTGGAAACTGCCTGCCTTCCTCTCCTGTGGCCTCTTCTGAGCCTAATTAGCAGACGGATTCCTGCTTTCCAAAGAGTTACTCATAGTCACGGTACTAAAGATCAAGTACAACCCCTCGTTTAAAGAACGCAAACCGGGCAAGTACTGTGTGGACGCCACAAAGACTGCAGGTATTTCCCTAATCAAAGGGCGGGTCTAAACTGACAGGGAAGTACACTACTGGTTTTTAATAAAGGTTACTCCACAGCTCAAGTTTATCATGACACTTTTTTTAGTAGGCCCACCTTCATATTATACTGACTTCTCCTTCCCAAAAGGGACCCACGGGACGGCGGCCTGGGCCTTACTCCCCAGAGCCGACAGCCGGTTGGGCTGCACCGTCCAGCCTTCACCCCAAGACGACCGATACTCGTCCTGTCCGTCCAGGCGCCGCCCTCGCGGCTGTTCTCTGCCGGGAGGCCAGCCCTGGGAGGAGCTGTCCGACGCCCGAAAAAGCCAGCGGCCAACACAAAACGCCCTATTCTGTGGTTCGGTCATCTCCTTTTCCCTAAACCCTCAACACCACCAGGCAGCCTGAAGCCCTCGCGACGACCGTGGCGGACTCCGAGACCAGGTCAGCCCACAAAGACCCGCCGAGGCCCTGACAACGCTCTAAACACCCTTCCCCGCGACCCCGGCCTCATCCCTCATCCGCACCCTCCGAGGGCTGCAGCTCCTCCGCAGAGCAGACGCGCCGGGAGACGACTGGCTCCGCAGAGCTGCTCGGCCCGGCCCCTCGCCCCGGTCTCCGAGGCCTCCCGTAGCCGGCGCGCGCCCCACTCCCGTTTGCACACTGACCTAGCGCTCCTCCAGCCGTCGCCGCGTCCCCTCTCAGCCCGCTCCCCACTGGCCGGCGGCCGCTGCTGCCGCCACCTCCCGAGAAGACCTACACGAAACGCTTCCCTATTGGCTCCTGCTTCCCCACCTGACCCTGGCGCCCTACGCGCACGTGGAAAACTGTTGTTGCCGCTCAGCCTGTGCGTCACTTCCGGCCCCAACCTCCAAAAAGGGCGGTGCTGAAGCCTGCAGAAGCGGAAGTGAGTCGACGATTGCGGCGTCTTTCGTCTCGGCCGATTCCGGCGCAGGCGCGGTGGCTCGGGAGGCCTGGATTTGCAGCTCCACCCTTGGCAAGGAGGGCCAACTGGGACTTTCGCGGTCCCCGGTTTTGGGGGGCCTCACCCGAGCGATGCCTCGCTATTGCGCAGCGATATGCTGTAAGAACCGTCGGGGACGAAACAGTAAGGACCGGAAGCTGAGTTTTTATCCGTAAGTTGTCCCTGGAGTAGAAGCGTCAGCCTTACCTTTGGGCCACGGTCCTGTGGCATCCGGGGCTAGGATTTGAGGTATCTGGAAATTAGTCCTCGGCTCTCCTGGTGTGCGGGAGAAGGACGCGAAGGCTCGAATTCAGTTTACTTAGAAATTTCCTAACTGAGCAAGGTCACGGGGCTGGTGGGGAGGCATAGGGGCCTTTTTGGGTATTAAATAACCCACTAAAAAAGTACAGTTTGGTGCGGTGCTCCGTAGTTTTCGGAGCGTTTCCCCACCTCAGCTGATTTCATGTCACTGAAGGACACTAACCACCTCTTAAGGTACACATCAAACCTGCCAAGCGGGAAGGTGCACCCAACAGTTAACTTACTCACACCTTCTGTGAGTTAGGTTACATAGGTGTTCCTTAATTCCATTTTTCTCCCGAGGAAACCAAGGCCTTTCAGAAAGTAGGTTACCTTGAAAGTTTTGTGAGAGAGCCAGGATTACAAGCAATCCTGCTCAGGGCTCTCTATATACTCTTCATTCGTACAGAGAACAGGGTGAGTGTTGTCCCGAATTACTACTGCCAGGAAATAGTTACGTGAAACCACAGAAGTACCCATTTTTATTTAGAAGAACAGGGAAGCAGTAATGTGTAGTAATTTAGAGTCCAGGCTCCAAAGCCGGACTCAGTAGCTTCAAAACCTGGCTCCACCACTCTTTAGCTGACTGATCTTCTGCAATTTACTTAAACTCTGTATGCCTAAGATCTCTCACCTGTAAAGTGGAGATACTAATTGTACCTACTTCACTTAGTGTGTAAATAGGTAAAGCAGCACTTGACATTGAGTACGTGCGTAATATATGTGAGAATCAACATATTTACAATATTTCCTTTTTTCTTGTTTGTAAAAATAATTCATTTAGCTCTAACCTGGCCGTCTTTTACTCTCTTAGATTTTCACCAGCTATTTTGTGAAGCCTGTTTTTCTTTAGACCAGAAGCGCTCTGTTGATGGACATGGTTGCTTTCCATTATCTTAACTAGTGGAAAGAAATCTGATAACCTAAGATAATTCACATGTGGCAGTATTTCCGGGATAGTTTCCCACTTGAAGCCCGCGAGATGCAGAGAGAGTTTTGGGGAAATGCTAGTATATCAATAGCTGTGGCTCTTGAAGATTTGTAAAACAAAAACAAAACAAAACATGTGGAACTTGATGTAGCCCCATTTCCCAGATTTATTCGGCCTTCATTTTGGGGAGGAAATAACCAACCCCAGACTCCCAAATTCTTTAAATCTTTCCGAGGGAAAAATAATAATGCCAGAGGAAGCCAATTATAAAGATTTTTTTCCTCAAAATGTGAAATTACTGAAAGTGGATGTTTTATGAGTTTATTTCGTATGTAATCCGCAAATTAAAAATTGAATCACTTTTATTCCCTTAATAGCACCAAACTTGAAGAATTGAATTTGTTAATGCTAACACTGTAGTAAGCTATACTATATATTAATTTGGCAATTCAGCTTATGTACACATATAGTGTTTATACTGTGATTATTTTATGCTTTTTTGGGAATTAATAAGACAGTGAAACAAAATTACAAAACAGAATGAACCACTGTAAAGATACTAAGTTATTTAGGAAACCTATCCAGAAGATTGCTTAGAGATTTACCTGCTGAGAAAGCATTGCAATCCAGTTACCAGCAAGGATGTTCATAGAGTGATTTTTTTTTTAATTGTTTGGTAACGTAGTATATAGGAACAATAGAAATAATTTGCAAGCAGCATACTTATACGTGAGATTACATGTGAAAATATTGTAAAGGGCATATTCTCATTTTAGATGTAGGAGAAAAGGTATGAACTTTTCTATGGCTATCAGAATTCAGGTTTTCTGAAAATATTCTCTTTGTCTTTAAATGCCTTTTCTGGTTATGTCTATTATATTTATAACCTGAATTCTTGATGTGTGCAAGGTTAAGGACTCTTCAAACCATGTGTGAACATTATATCTGTGGTAAGAATTTCCAAAGGTAGATCATCTGATTTTTCCATATAATAGTATCTGGGTTAAAAATTATTTCCTATAAAGTACCCATACTCCTTTTCCTTAGCATCTTAAAAAGTTATCAATATTTGCTGGGATGGGGGGGAGGCATGCTATTATAAAGCATAAATTAAGTGGTCTGGATTGAGAGGGTATGCATAATTGCTGCTTTTTGTATCAGAAACCTTATGTTATTATTTTTAAAAAATATGATATTAGACTGTTCTCATAAAATCATTGAAAGAAACAAATACTGTTAACTGTTTAATACAGTTTTAACTGAAATCTATTTAGAATGGTAGGAAAAAGTTTTCTGTGAGATTCTGTCATTAGCCCAATTTTGCTTATAAAATTATTTCAGTGTGTTAGCACCAACTCTAAATAAAGGTTACTGTCAGCAAAGAACAACACATACAAAGAACTTTCTTTGTATTTTCTATTTGATTTATTTCATGTTATAAAATATCTGAGTGTTCTTTATAACCTGTTTAGTTCTTGTTTCAGTTTTCTTTCAAAACTTGAATTTTAGGGTTCTCAGTTTAGAAATATTAAACTAAATTACATATGGGTAGAATTGAGGCCGATTGTGGTAAAGGGAATGGAATATTAGTAGTTTTATAAGATTTAGTATTCATTTTCAATTAAATCACTTGTTTGAACTTATTTTTAAAATGTTAATATAAATAAGAGCCTAAAGCTTAATACTTCCTTGAATTACAGACAAGACACCATTTGACTTGTAGTATTAGTATAGAATACATTTGAATCGGACTTTGTAGTTTATGTAGTTCTAGGCAAAATATCCAACAAAATCAAAATATAATCCACAGAAAATAAGAGTAGATTTTATCCTTTGTTGGAACACACATATTTTACTTAAAGGGACTCAAGTTATGTTTTACCAGCCTTTTTTTTTTTTTTTTTTTTTAAGATTTTACTTATTTAGAGAGAGCATGCGTATGTGTATGCATGTGCAGGAGCAGGGGGAGGGGCAGAGGGAGAGAGAATCTCAAGCAGCCTCCATGCTCAGCGCAGAGCCTAACGTGGGGTTCAATCCAGGACCCTGAAATCATGACCTGAGCAGAAATCAAGAGCTGGATGCTCAGCCGACTGAGCCACCCAGGTACCCCTACCAGCCATTCTTCTGAAAAGCTTTGCCTGCACATCTTACAGCTTAATCATCTTTACTGTAGAGATGATGTAGTAATGCTATGAAGATGCTCTTACATGGTGTGGATGGTTGCCTTTCCTCTTTTGCAGCATTCAATGCATAGGTTACCTGTATATGCAGTCCTGGAATTTGCAAAAAATACAGCGAAGTTTCCTTTTTTAATTTCAGGTTTCCTCTACATGACAAAGAAAGACTTGAAAAATGGTTAAAGAATATGAAACGAGATTCATGGGTACCCAGTAAATACCAGTTCCTGTGTAGTGACCATTTTACTCCTGACTCTCTTGACATCAGATGGGGTATTCGATATTTGAAACAAACTGCAATTCCAACAATATTTTCTTTGCCTGAAGACAATCAGGAAAAAGACCCTTCCAAAAAAAATCTCAGAAGAAAAAATTAGATGAGAAAGAAGTGTGCTTAAAAGCCAAGTCACAAGAATCATTTGCATCAAGTGAGCTAAAGAAAAATACAGTTAATACAGATGTCCTCCCTGAACACACAGAATTACTTAATTCATCTACCTTGGTCAAGCTACCAGCTCTAAAACCAGAAAGTATACAAAATAACATATTAACTCTTAATCTGGTTAAACAAGATACTGGAAAACCAGTATCTACCTTGGAAACATCAGTTACCCAAGACATAGATAGAGGTGGTTTTCACACATCTTTTGAGAATCTAAATTCTACAACTATTACTTTGACAACTTCAAATTCCTAACATGGTGTGGATGGTTGCCTTTCCTCTTTTGCAGCATTCAATGCATAGGTTACCTGTATATGCAGTCCTGGAATTTGCAAAAAATACAGCGAAGTTTCCTTTTTTAATTTCAGGTTTCCTCTACATGACAAAGAAAGACTTGAAAAATGGTTAAAGAATATGAAACGAGATTCATGGGTACCCAGTAAATACCAGTTCCTGCGTAGTGACCATTTTACTCCTGACTCTCTTGACATCAGATGGGGTATTCGATATTTGAAACAAACTGCAATTCCAACAATATTTTCTTTGCCTGAAGACAATCAGGAAAAAGACCCTTCCAAAAAAAAATCTCAGAAGAAAAAATTAGATGAGAAAGAAGTGTGCTTAAAAGCCAAGTCACAAGAATCATTTGCATCAAGTGAGCTAAAGAAAAATACAGTTAATACAGATGTCCTCCCTGAACACACAGAATTACTTAATTCATCTACCTTGGTCAAGCTACCAGCTCCAAAACCAGAAAGTATACAAAATAACATATTAACTCTTAATCTGGTTAAACAAGATACTGGAAAACCAGTATCTACCTTGGAAACATCAGTTACCCAAGACATAGATAGAGGTGGTTTTCACACATCTTTTGAGAATCTAAATTCTACAACTATTACTTTGACAACTTCAAATTCAGAAGATGTTCAGCCGTCTTTGGAAACCCAAGAAGTGTTTGAAATAACTACGAATCACCTTGCTAACCCAAACTTTACAAATAATTCCATGGAAATTAAGTCAGCACAGGAAAGTCCATTCTTACTCAGCACAATTACTCAAACAGTTGAAGAATTAAATGCAAATAAAGAATCTGTTATTGCCATTTTTGTACCCACACAAAATTCCAAACCAATTAATTCTTTTGTATCTGCTGAGAAAGAAACCGTGGAAATGGGAGATCTAGGCGTTGAAGACTCCTTATATAAGGATATAGACTATGAGACAGAAGTTTTACAAACTGAACATTCTTACTGCAGACAAGATATAAATAAGGAACATCTCTGGCAGAAAGTCTCTAAACTACATTCAAAAATAACTCTTCTTGAGCTACAAGAACAACAAACTCTTGGAAGATTGAAGTCTTTGGAAGCTCTTATAAGGCAGTTAAAACAGGAACACTGGCTATCTGAAGAAAATGTCAAGATTATAGAAAAGCATTTCACAACATATGAACTTACTATGATATAGAGTGTAAAGAGGTTTTAATGCTATGACTTTTATAAAGCTTTTTGCAGCCAAACCAACTTATGTGTAAAGTGAACTTTTTTCCCTTATAAAGTTCCATCTTAAGCGAAGAAAGTATTCTAACGTTAAAAACTGCATCCTGTTCTTGTAATGTTCATTTTTTAAGAAAAACTAGAGTTGTTGGGCTGTAGAGAAAAAGTTTCACTACTTGGTAATCTTCCAAATTGGAATGAAAAAATAATACGATTCATAAAATGAGAGAACATGGATATGGTGAAAGGAGCCCAGAAGAGAAATCAGGCTCAGGTATCAGTCCTGGTTCTACCATTGGCATATGACTTGGGCAAATTACTCTTGAGCCTCAGTCTGTAATCTATAAAATGAGGGCACTTACTAAATCTAGTCTGTTTATAGTTTCTTTCTATTAAAATACTTTTTTAATAGAAAAACTTTTTTATAAGGTAATATATACTTACATTATACTATATGTTGGCTAGTATTTGATGTTATTTACTATTGGATTATCTTCAAAATTGAATTCCGTGGTGTTTGACTTGTTGACTGCAGTTATTTGTAATAAAGGAAAGTACTCCTTTTATAATTTTATTCCAGTTGAACTAAAATAACCTTCCATTAGCCCAGTTTGTAGGAGAGGTACTTTAAACTTAAAAGAATATGTATTTTGGTACCTTATATGTAGCTGACCATCATAATACATAGTCATTTAATCTTAACATTCTGTATTTAAGGTTGTAATTTATAAACCAAAAATTTTAATGAGGTTAATTTTTTTAAAATCTATATATTACTATATTTTAGAAATCATAGCTTGTATCTATTTAATGTGTAGCTTTTTAAAGTATGTGCTTTTGTCATTTTTAAATTCCAGAATGATCGAGTAGTACTTGATATTATACATGCCCATTTACATACATTTTATTAAAATTTATAAGCAAGAAACTAGGTATATGGTAATGTTCTTAGACTAGGAAAGGAATGATGGTGATACTAAAAAAAAGAAAGAAAGCAAAGACAGTGGGAACAACAGAAATGTGAAAAATAATGATCTTCTAAAATTGGGTGTTAATATAATTAAATGTTACTGATTATATTATTGAGCAAGTTCCTGTCAGTCCGATTCATACTTTTCTCATCTTTTTTATAAAAAATACTGTTACCTTTCTCAGAGGGTTTTGAGAAGTCTGTGAGGTAACATGTTTTTGGTTCTGGAAAATGGGAGGTGCTCAATAAATATTAGTTGACTGCACAGCAGATAGTATACTAACTATTTTGTAAATTCATGGTGAATATTTTTGGCCACACTTTTGTTTTTTCAAGCTAAAAAAATTAATTGGTATTATATAAATATGTGCTAAATACAAAAAGTTGATTTAGAGATATCTTTATTTGACCACGGGAGGGGAAAAAAAACCTTAAATTTTTGCGTAAATGATGTGCAGATAATTGGTAGAATTAATATGTTATTTTTAAGTATTCCTGTGTTGCATTTTATAGTACTTCTTTAAAATAAATAGTATAGATGAGAATAACCTTGATAAGTCATTATAAAATAATGTTTCAACTCTTTTTAATTGTGTATATTGTATTTTCTCTTTGAAGTTGTAGTTTACTCAGGAATAATTTAACCTAGTTGTATTTCTTTAAACTTAATAAATTATAAATATTTAAGATAATTTCTTGGCTTGCCTATATTCAGTTAAGGATGTTTCCAACCTGTTAATTTCTAAATATATTTGGGGGCTCTACCCAACTTTATTTCTTAGTTGGGTTATTATAGGGTCTCTTAACTAATCTTGCCAATATTTTCAGTCCTGTCTGTATCTTCTATATTCTGCTGTCAGCTTTTTTACTTCAACTTGTAGATCTAACTATATCATCCACTCACTACTTAACTTTCCCAGCTCAGAAATCTGAAATTACTCTTGAATACCTACAGAACAAAGCTGAGGTTGTTACCATATATGATCCTCTGTGATTTGCTTCATCCTGTGTTCTAGCCAAACTGGACTACTTAGCATTTTCCGAACATGCCATGCAGGTGACTTTCTTCATCCTTATTTTATTCCCTGAATCCAACCAGTCAAAATTGAAGCTTTGGTTGAGTTTTGTTTCCCTTTTTCTAGTCAAAATTGTTTTCTCTCTGCTCTTACAGGGCTTTGTTTTATAACATTGTAACAGTGTTTGCCTTATACTTTTTTATATTGTGATATCTTTGGCTGTTCTTTCAACTAGATTGTAAGCTTTTTAAAGCAGGATTTTCATTAATCACTGGTTTCTTTGACAATGTAATTCAATAAATGTTTGGATGAATATTTTGAATTTGCTTGATTCTTGTCATTAAAATCAAGAACCTTCTTACAAAATAGGTCCTTGATACCCTTAGAATGTTTAGGGAAAGACCTACGTCTTCACATAATCTTTGAAACATTCCGTGTTTTCAATGGACAATACAATTTACCAAGAATCTGCTATGCCATCTATGAATTGATTTTCATGTGGAAGGCTATTCCCACCCCAAAATATTTTCTGCTTTCTTTCCTGTATAATTAAAAAGGAAGTAAGTCCAAATATGGCTTCTGAATATATCTCATTCTATGTTCTCTTCTGTAGTGTGAATTTGTCACTCCCTTAACAAGAGGTGGAATTTATTTTTCTACCTTTTTTAATCTGGTGGGCTTTGTGAGTGCTTTGACCAATAGAATACAGTGAAAGTGATAGAGCCAGCTAAACTTAGACCTTAATTGACCTGGCAGCTTTCACTTCCTCGTTGGAACAATATCTCTTAGAATGCCAGATGCCCTATAAAATGTGTGATTACCCTGAGACCATGCTGGAAAAGCCAAAGCCACATGGAGAGGCTCTAGAAAATGAGACTTCAGACACATTAGTGAAGAAGCCAACAAGCAACTCAGTTTCTGTCACAGAATCATGAAAGACAGTAATTGAAGTCAACAGATACCTGGAATTGGAGGGGAGGGTGTGAAGACATGTTAAAAAAAAAATGCAGTTGTTATTAACAAGCAGTAGTCATCCCACACAGCTTGGCTGGTGTCCCTCTTCTAAACTGTCAAAAGATTGGAAGTTTATTCTCTAGAGAGGATGAAACAAGTTCTTCAGAAAAGATAATGGGCAGGGATGCCATACTGCAAAGAGGTATTAAGTGAAAGTTTATAAGCTGAATAGTGAGCTCCAACCCAGCCTCTATCACATACTTGGTTTCCAGAACAATGGCAACCAAGCTTATACCCTCTAGTTTTCTCTTGGGAATTTGACAAACATCATGAGAAAACCAGATCTCACATTGGAGGTTCCAACTGAGGCCAGCTAAGTCACTCTGCAGCAGTGTTTCTTAACCTTTACTGCATCAAAATCACTTGAGAAGTTATAAATTTTTTCATTACCCAAACTGATTTCAATTGGTCTGGTATAAAACCTGAGTATTTGTGGTTTAAAAATTTTCTCCGGTGATTCTCATATACAGCAAAAGGTGAGAATCATTGCTCTATAGTAAGGCTATGGAAATGACTCATCGCCGAGTACAGAGATTTTCATCAGTGTCCTGCCAACCAACAGTCAACAAGTCAATTGAAAGTTAATATTAGAGATAACAGGTAGAAAGCAATTTAGAGAAAACGCTTAAGTAGAAGAAACGTTAGGGGAAAGAACCCAACTGTACTTAACATTTACTGAGAAGTATGTTGCATACTTGAAAACAAAAACTGTGTTTTTTAAAAGTATTAAAAAGACCTCTAGTAATTTAAAGTGTGGTATTAGGGACACACCAAAGCACATTATTTTTTTAAAAATCAGAACTTTAGACACAAAAAGAGGATCTTACTTTCAGCAAGGAAAAAACCAAAAGGGTCAAGAATAGAACAGCTTCAAATTTCTGAATGGCTACGCTGGAAGCAAGAAGACGAGAGATCAATGATCTGAAAGTTCTGAGGAAAAAAGATTTCCGAGGTAGAATTCTATATCCAAAGTCTCAAAATATTGTCTCCTCTATCCTTTAAGGCAGCTATTGGAAAATGCATCCTACAGAAATAAGGCTATAAAAGAAAATCAAGAGAATGGCTTCTAAAGTTATTTCCTAGATGATCGTTTATCATTCAGTTGATCTGAAGATTAGAAATAGGAAAAAGGAAATCAAATCAAGAAAGCAGAGGGAATTCCAATTTGGTAGTTAGGGGAGGTCCCAACATAACAGCCTGACCACAGGTGTAGAGAGCCACCAGTCCAAATTGGAGTAGGTCAAAAGGTTCAAGGATAGAGTTCTTCAAGAAGATGAAAATTGATAGAGTAACTAATGTGTTAACACCTTTAGAGGAATCTCACACATCTGGGGTAGAATTGAGGGTTGAATTAATAAATACAGAGAAAACTATATAAAATCAGAACAAATGTTAACATAAAATATGTGGAAAGCTCAAGCCATTATATTTTAGTACACACTGTATTTACATAGTTGAAATAATGTAAATGCAATATAAACACTAATATATTAGGAGGATGGGTGTGTGTGTGTGCATGCATATGTTTGTGCTGGGGCCAGGAGCAAGGAGTAGGATGTAATTAAAGCAAAGTTCTCATCAACCATAGTGGAATATCAAAAGATAATGCCTAAATGCAAAAACTTTAAAAATAACAAACATCTTGAGGTAAATAGGTAAATACATAAAGAATCCACATATATCATTGAAAAGGTTGACTCAGGAGCAAGAAATGAAGGAGGACTGCAGTTTTTTGTAACAAGGCTTAGAGAGTACTGACTTTTTAAACATATTTTTTAGACTAATGGGTTTATTTCTATTTATCCTTTAGGACTATTATTTTATCTAGAAAGCCTTTATTTGCCTTTCCAAATGCCCTTTTTATTTAGTCTATTAGCTACCTTTACTTACCCCTATTATAATAACGATCTTCCAGAATCATTATTGCTTCTTTACTTGTTCTTATACCCCCAAGATAAATTTTCATACCTTCAAAGTGTAAACTTTTTACAAGCTTTTAAGCTTCGTTGTGTAGCACAATTTATTTTTTTTTTTTAAGATTTTATTTATGAGAGAGAGAGAGAGCATGAGCAG